AGATACTGTTAATTTAAAAGTCCTCTACATATGAATATATTTTTGATTTAAGCTTACTTAGACTCAAAGGAAATACAGCATATTTCCCGAGTTCCAGGAATGGAACGTGCTAAACTGAATCTTTCTCGAAGTTTAATCTCTTGCAAATTATATTGTTCGTTTGTTATATACGTAAAATTTGCTGATGGCATGTTTTGTTTTGCAAATTGATATAAATCAATTGGCGTTAAAATGTGGCCAGAACTGATGCGCTGAAGGCTTGAACGTGCTGCTAATCTTTTTAATGTTCCGCCAAGGCCGTCACATGGACCTTTTCCATGGGATGTAGCTGAAAAATGTCAATCAGCTGCTACACCAAAATCTGATTCATAATAACACAGATTTATAAAAAAATTTCTGTTTTTATATTGTGCAGCTGATCCGTCAGAGCAGTAATATATTTTGTTTGGCTTTTTGTTGAATTGATTGGTCAAAAACTTTATCATTTTAGTCTGGTATAAATGTACTGCAATAACATCATGTTGAAGTGACTCTGATATTACCACATAATTAAGGTTTTCTATATTGCCATTATTATTATAATATTCTATCATAGAATGGATGTGACTTGATTGTTTTTCCAGAGGAATCCTTGAACAGCGTCTTGAATTATAAATGCATAATTTTCAGAGAAATCAAATTATCATAAATTCATTTGTGTGTAAAAGATGTTTAAGTTTTGAAATATATGATGATTGATTGGTAGCGAGAAAGGAATGACGTAGCATAGGTGGAATTTTTTCTAAAAAACTATTAAGAAATCTTGAGAAGATTTTGTTATTGTTTCTAGATTACTTCTATCAACAGATACCCACTGTTTAAAGGATATATGATCTATGTCATTTTGGGTAAAAAATCATTTAATTAATTGAGAATAAGCCTGGACAATAGTTACAATCTCCTAAATAACAAATAGGGAGGGCTGGATTGCATAATGCTTGGGCTAAAATATTTTTATAGTTATGTAATGGATATTCTGGCCTAGCTAATAGTTTTGCCAAATTAGCATCTACAAACATAAGCTTACGTCAATAAAATAATATCTGTATGGGCTGCCTGCTTACATATCGCCCCAGAACATCATTCTTGGTTATACTCAATTGATTTTTTAATTTTAATCACAATACTATTCATATTTTTATTAAAAATTATAAAAATATTTTAATACAACGCCATCTGTATTACATTTTTTTATTTATAAAAATAATAAATAAAATTAAAAAAACAAAAATGGCTATCGAGATTTTTATTTAAATAGTTTAATAGAAGGGAATAAACATTTTTAGTGAATATTAACATCCCAAAAAAATCCCTTCCTAACAATGTTAATTTTTTATTTTTACCGGAAATAAGTAAACACTTGAAATTTTTTAATTTTTTTTATATTTTCCAACGTAAAATTTTAAGGGCTATAAAATGATTATAATTTGTAACTTTATCTTAACTATTTTTTTAAAAAACACGATTTAAAGAAATCACGGAAAATCACGCACTTCGCGATTTTCGACTTTGAAGGCGTATATCTTTGGATCTGGTTGAGCTAACACTCTAAAATTTTAATTTTCTTAACATTTACAACATAAATAACTAACATGCAAAGTTTCATTCATTTTTGAGATGGTCGGCCGAATCCTTGGTCGATTTGTCATGGAATTAATTACCCATGTATTAAATGGAGCTAATCCATTCAATCATCATATTTATGGGATAGGGTTTTATTCGCAATGAAAAAATGTTCTCTCATTGCAAGGCAGGTAATGGTGAGTGGGGCGGTAATTTTTATATTGAAAGAATTTTTTGGAACATTAAGAATTCATTTGACTTAATCATATAAAATTCATTATAACCATTATATTAATCCGTCATATTTTAAAAAATAACAACTTCAAACACAAAATAAAATATTTAAGAACAATATTAATATTGTCAATAAATATTAAAGCTAAAAAACCTACATGTAAATCACAATAAAATATAGAATTATACAAAATTTAATCTTTGCGATTGTGTCAATTTTACTAATTTGTTCAGTATTGGGGATTAAATATCACTTTATTAAATAAAGCTAGTCCATTCAATCGATTTTCTGATACACTCTGAGGTAAGTTTTTAAAAGGTCATCTTATTTGTGGGTGTACTATTTAGTATTGGTGCTAAAATATACAGTAATTTTAATATATTTAAAAGTATGCAATACCTCCATTGTTATAAAAATTAATCATTCATGCCAAGATTTAAATTCTGAAATATGGCCCTTCAGATACATATTCTCTGAATAAATTTTAGCTAACTATTTAATTTTTTTCAATAAGATTCAATCAAATGGATTAATGTATCCAAAAAACGGTTATTTTATAGTAATTCTTAATGGATTTCACGTTAATATTAAAACGATTTGTTTGTCTAGGTGCAAGTCGAGTAGTGAATCTCAAAATTATATAATTTCGCATTGCCTTAACAATCACATAAATTTGTGGCATTTGGTCGATATTATCTCTTAATTTTCCAAGTTGCAATATAATAATATTTGCGATTATCATAACTTCAGCCAAATCCATTTTTTTTGAAAGATATAGCAGAAAATTGTTGCATAGAATGACTTATTAAATATTCCAATGCAAAAAAAGCAGTTATCTTAAAAAATCTAATAATATATCAGCTTCAGGTGAAATATTTATCTGATATTTCTCCAAGGGCACTCAATTCTTCTGAATCCAAAAATGAAGTAACAGCTTGATGTCAGAGACTTCATCTTGTCAGGTATGCTTTTTGCAGTTTCTTTCTTGTAGCACATGAAATCTCAGAAATATTTCTATTCAGTAAATTCTGTCTCTTTGGATATCTGAACATTTCTCACACTTTAGAAATTTTGTCCAATCATAGTTATTAGAGAAAATTAAATAAAAAAAATTTTTGGTTGATAAAATTTTTATATATTTATTTATCTTTAAGGCTTACAAAAATGTAAGGAAATATACTTTAAATTTTCATGAGATAAAATATTAGTACAAAGGAATGAAATATTTAATTTAATTTTTTCTTTAAAATTATATATAGAATTTAACCTAATTTGAAATAGAATACTTGCAATTCACAAAAACTTCTAAAATTTTTCAAAAAAATTTGTTACAGGGGAGGTAGGGCAATTTCTATCCCTACCCCCCTCCCTGGCTATCAGAGGGTCTCATTGTGCTTGAGCTTAATGGTATTATTATCAAAATAAAGAGTAATTTATATGAAAAAAAACCTTAAAAATATTTTTTTAAAATATCTATGGCATTTCTTAGAAGATTATCTACTAGAATTAATTTTTCATATAAGATTTAACTTCTAAAATTTATTGGCCCTCAGATTTAATATCTTATAAAAATTGGGCCAAATATTAAATTTATTCAATATCAAGAGTAAATATATCTTCAGAGAGATTGTGAGATAATATTTTTAAATTCGATATTGAATCAAAAATTGTTCATTATTTGCGGTCAATATTATCTCTTATTTTAATAAGTTATACTATAATAATATTAGCTATTCCTATAGTTTCAAATCAATCATTTATTTGGAAACGGATACTTTGTAATAGAGATCTGCAAATGCGGAAAATTTTCAGGCCTGGCCTAGTTGGAATTTAGCGTATTGTCAGCATGGCCAAATTTGCACATGTCCTAGTCTGTTTCCAATTTTTTTTATAGCCTGGCCTAGTTTTTTTTAAATACAAGGCCTAACCAAAATATATGTAGTTTAACACCAACAACTATTTATAATATTGGGGAGTGTTCAAATAAAAAACACTACACTAAGGATTGTCACTTCTATCAAATATCAGAATTCATCAATATTTTTTTACCTGGTTAAAATAAAAAATTTCATTTCCAGCCTGACCCATGGGCATCAACTTAGAAATTCTGAAAGCCTTTTATATTTCTCATAAAATTTATAAATAATATACATTTTTTGGCTATTGGGGAAGGGGTATTTGTTCCCCTAAAGCCTCACAGGCTATGTGCTCCATTAAATAATTAACAAAAAATTAATTCAATCTTTTTATAATACCCTTCATAAAAATATTACATAGTTAATTTTGTTTTAATTTATATATATTATAAATTTTGAAATATAATTAAATTATAAATAAAGTTATGCCAATTAAACAAATTTTTTTTGTTTTTTATAAAACAATGTTTGAAAAAAAATTTTGAAATGAAAAATATAAATACAAAACTCAATAAACTGTAAAATTTCAATTAGTTTTTACAATAAGTAAAAACAAACAAAACATTCAGTTTTATTATAATGTATTTTATTTTAACCTTATCAAATTTTACAGTAGAAATTTTAAAAAGTGCATAAATGTATATTTAATTATCAAATATCAAAGCTTGGAACATGGATTAAAGAGTTCCAGTTTTCATATAAATTAGTTGTATTATAAGATAGGGTATTTAATCCAATTTCAAGGGTTCTTGGTCCTTTGATAAAATTATTCTTTCTTAATTTTAAATTTAAATGTAAAGTATTAATTTGATGAGATATTATTTTAAAATTCATATTAACATATAAATAATTAATGTCATAAATAATAAAATCAGGCATAAAAGGGTTAGTTAATAATAAATTTATGGACCTAAATATTAAATAAAATCTTTATTTTAAAAAGTAGCTAAATAATAGAAAAATGAAATATTTTCCCAATATTAAATATCCAATTTATTGAATTTGACAAAAACCTAGCATACCTCTGTTGCTTAGCAACATTAGAGGGCTTAGCATAGAAATCATGTAATTATATTTTTATAAAAGAAATTTTATTATAAATTGAAATGAATATAAAGGTATATATAACAAAAGCTTTTATTACATTTTAAGATAAGCATATTGTTATATAAGTATACCCAATATTTTTTTGTATAATAGAGATTATTTATAAATTTTGATAGAAACAGCTGTTAAAATGAATATACCTCTTCTTGGTTTATTAAAGCTTTCATGAAGGTAGAAAACAACTTTTTCAACAAAATGATGAATAGGTTTATCTTGTGGACCTCTTACAAAGACCACCCAATCATGAGTAAATCCATTACTAGTTGGTTTATCTCTAAATTCTGCTCGATGCCCCAATTCAAGTTTGACTTGTACAAACTGTTTATTAATTAAAATATAACGTAGGTTTATTTGTTAAGGGAATAATAAAATGATTCTTATTTAAATAAATTTTACCGTCATGTCTTAAAAAGAAATAATATATTTTGAGCTTAGCATTGAAAGTCACGGCAAATCATCAAATTATAATGAAAAGACCAATGATGGGAAAGATAATTCGATTTGGTTTAATATGGTATAGTTAGAGTATATAAGAATACATTAGTGATTACTTCAAAACAATAAACTAAGTTATACAGCTATATTAGTATCAAACATTATATACAGCTATAGTATATAAAGTTAATTTAAATTATAAATTCCGCTAGATTATATTATATCCTGATATATTAAAGCCTTTATTATTTAAAATGTTCGACACGAATTATTTATTTTTTATGATATTTGTAGATGTTGCAGTATTCAAATATAAATTTAATACAAAACATTTTAACTTATTAAATTCTTACTTTTATCATATATATTATATTATATTGCAAAATTCGTAATATCAAAAGACCTGTTATTTTACCATATTTTATTATAATTTCGAATTAAAATTACTATCCTAAAATAATACTTACTTTTATCATTTATACAATGATACATTTATTTATATTATATTATATTGCAGAAAATTCGTAATATCAAAAGACCTGTTATTTTCTTATCATATTTTATAATAATTTCGAATTCAAATTACTATCCTAAAATTTATATAAAAATTTTATATATATATAAAAAAAAAATAAAAAATATAATTTCATATAATAAAATAAATATGTTATAGAAATAGAAATAATAAAATACAATATGATTTAATTGAAAAAAATAAAAAATAATATAATATAACTGCACCGACCATGTTTACCAACAGTAGATAAATGGAGAAATATAAGAATCATATGTTATTATAACTATATACAAGGATGGAATGCAAAAAGTTATAATTAGCTTGCCCTATATTCCATTGAAGATAGGCAGTGTAGCAGTACTAGTGTTGTTAAACGGCTCGTTTTGAGCCGATTTTTAAAAACGGCTAACTCAATATTAAGTAATCCATTTTTTATTTCATAATATAATAATATAAATAAAATATATATCATATAATATGTTTATTTGTTGATAAATAAAATATTAACATTAAATATAAATAAAATAAATTATTTAAAAAAAATAAAAAAATAATAATAGACCGCGTTATATTTCGCGGAATAGTTTTCGATATATTGTCTTCGCGATTTATGTTTCGCGATATTGACTTCGCTATAAAATTTTTGCGATTATTGATTCGCGATAAAAATTTCGCTCTAATGTATTCGCTTTAAAGGTTTCGCGATAAGAGTTTCCCTAGAAAAAATTCACGATATTTGCTTCGCTATATTGTTTTCGCGGAAAAGTATTCGCTAATGTGGATTCGCGATAAAAGTTTTGCTATAAAGTTCATTCGCGAGAAAAGTTTCGCTGAATTGACATGGAACCTTTTTTTAAATCATATTAACATTACATTTTTTTGGTATCAATTTGTATTTAAATTTAAACGAACATTTTTATTTTACATAATTGGTTATTTGATGATTTATTTATTGTTAAAAAAAATAGAAATAGAAATATGTTTTTGGTTAAAAGTGATAATAAGATGTAATTCATAATAATAAAATGTAATTTATAATAATAAAATAAAAATTTGACTTATTTGAACATGAATATTATATAAAAAAGAGAATTAATATTAATTCTATGTTGCCAAATTACGTCCGAACTTCGCGTGCGTATTATCTCAAAATTCGATCTTGATTTTGAATTATACATGAATTATATATTACGCTTTTATCGATTATAATTCTTTTACGATGGATGCATTGAATAATTCCACATATATGACCGAATTCGTCAAGCCGGATTTCCCTAAATTTAGTAGCGATGACAGCGCTTATATAAGGAAATTGCAAAATTTCTTCGACACTAGCAAGATCTCCAATGGAGAAAAGGCCGCGTTGTTTCTTCGAAATCTTCCAGATAACGAATTCAATATCATTGGAGCAATTTGCACGGAGGCAAACTTCCAGGACCCAATCGCTCTTCTTGGCAAATTCAAGCTACGACATCCGTCGAAGACTGAGAACGTCAAACCCTCATTATTTTATGCTGCCACTCAAGGCAAGGATGGGACGTTCTCGACTTGGGTCACACGCGTAGCAAGACTCAATAAAGAATGCAAATTCAATGGCATTCCGCACATTATTGAGAAAGTGAGAGTTGCTTCGAATTCCAAAGATGTCAGGAAAGCGGTCAGGAGCTCTATGACTATAGAAGATATTTACAATCTAGGTCTAGAGGAAGATACCACGGAGCCAAATGACATCAAGGGCGTGATGAAAGTAGAAGCTATTCATTTGAATGAATCACCTGGAGTACAAGAAATTAATCACATGGGCAGAGCCAAGAATAGCCATGTAACCATAAAACCCATTCAGGACTCTCTATGGTAAATCTCTTATCAAGCAACCCCAGCTCATCAATGACAATCGCCATGGACAACATTTCGATGACCGTTACGATGTACTCTACGACAACAGCCGTGACAAACGATTTGACGGACGGCAGGACAACTTCCACGACAATCGTTTTGATCAAAGCTACGATAATTGTCAATAACCGCAACCAACCGTTTAAACAATAGCAACGATAATTACTACGACGATCGATACAACAATCGCGGGTACAACATCCATGACAACCGCCACGACTATGGTTGTGACCATCATCAAAGCCCTGATAGACGGGATGACTGCTATAGAGACGATAACCGTATCAACTATCCATGTCGCGGCCAGCATAGACATAACCCTCAAAATATTAATGGTTTTCCGAAATATTCGTCGAGGTCCAACCATTATAAAAATGACAATAATAACCACAACAAATCTTATGATTATAAAGATCGTGATTGTCAATACAATACGAACCATGCTATGAACATCGAAGTAATCGATGATGATGATGACTCAAACACAGATCTTAAAGAATATAATCTTCAGAATCTTGAAGTGTACAATCTGGGGGTCTACGACACCAGATATGACGCGTACAACGTAACGGTGAGCATCAACAATATACCCACGTTGATGCAATTTGACACCGGTACTAGGTACACTATAACGAAGCTGACAGCCAAGACTGTATGATGCGTAATACGAAAATGAAACTGACTGATTATGACGGCAGCGCCATCAAGATATTAGGTCTTGCCAATGTGAAAGTTAAGTATGAAGGTAACTCATATACACTGGAGATTTCCCCTGCTAGGACGTATGTGGTTACACGCCTTCAATAACATACTAAAATCGTTCGTTGTGGGCAGTGGCGTATTTACGGGAGTGGATTTCGAGTTTGGACCCCTCCCAGAGCAAAATTTTTTTTAGATTACAAGTTCAAAAGACTTAAAAGTGACTTTATATCAAATAAATACCATTTTATATTTTTCTGGTTTTGATGTTTGTGGAAGGATATTATATTACTATTGAAATTATTCTGGATAGTATTATTATAAGGTCATTGAGAATAATCTACTAAATTATAATAACATATTATTGATGCATTTAAAAAATATAATTATTATATATTATCATGGTTATGATTTGTAAAATAAACCCGGCCGAAGGCCACGCAAAAGAGCCGAAGGCCCTTATAAGGAGGTCTGGGGGGCTTCGCCCCCAGGCTTTTATATGTATGGACCCCCTCTAAGGAAAATTCCTAGCTACGCCACTAGTTGTGGGTAACATAGATGATGAACTTGAAAAGATTATATCGGTAATGAAAAAAGACCTTTCATCAACACGCTACCATAAACCTAACATGATCAGACAAGTGAAAATTTACTTGAAGCTCGATGCCGTGCATAAAATCATACCTCAAAGGAGAGTTCCATATGCCAGGGTTGATGCAATGACTCGTGAATTGGACGGCTGGTTAAAGGACAACATAATAGAGCCAGTATTTCAAGTCAGATGGGCAAGTCCATTAACTCCTGTTTCAAAGGTGACAACACTATGAGGTTGTGTGCTGATTTTAAAGACACCATAAACCCTGTTTTGGAGGACTCCAAATACCCAATACCGCGCATTAATGATCTGATCACAAAGTTGGCCAAGGGTAGGAAATTCACCAAAATAGATTTCAAGCATGCCTTTCTGCAGATTCTCATACACGAAGATTCCAGGTACTCACGATCTCAACACACAAGGGGTACTTCCCCTTCACCAAGCTACCATTTGGTTTAAAAACAGCTATAGCCATCTTCCAACAGATTATGGATCGGATATTCGGCGACCTAAAAGATGTCAATTTTTGTATTGATGACTTGCTAATCACATGTAGTAATGACGAAAAACATATCGAGAACATTAAAAAAGTGTTTGAACGAATTCGAAGACACCTAACTTCTCTAAAAGCGAGTTCATGAAAGACAGGATCAGATTCCTAGGCCATGATATCGACGCTGAGGGCATACACACGAATAATAACAAAATCGAAGCCATCACCGGCATGCCTGAACCAAAATCTAAAGAGGAGCTAGCCACATTTTTAGGAATGGCCAGTTACTACCGTAAATTTCTGAACAATTTTGCCAGCTTAGCTGTTCCATTATATAAAATAGTGAATAAAATAAATGAACTTGGGATGAAGGTCACAAAAAAAGTTTTGAGTAATTAAAACTGTTCATAGGTCAACCACCAACGTTAAGCTGTTTTAACCCCAACCTACCTATAGGCATTGCGGCAGATGCGTCCAAGCCATAGTTGTTAAACGCTATTTTTAAAAGTAGCGCGCTACCGCTATAGCTATTTGTCAAAAAAAGTAGCGAGCTACCGCTTTCGCTATTTGTCAAAAAAAGTAGCGCGCTATTAGCTACTCTTAAGCTACTTTTTATAAAAAAAATTTTAGAAACAAATGAAACAAATTTTTTTTATTTTTTTTTTGCTTATAATGTAAATGTATAATAAATAATATATAAAAATCAACATTTATAAATATAAAAATATAGTTAGTTTAGATTATAAAAAAATAAGCAATAAATAAATATTTATTTTAATTTGTTGCATTTTAATAATAATATCATTTCAATATTATCATCCCCAAGTCTAGAGCGACGATCAGAAAGTATAGCTTTGCTTTACTAAATAATCTCTCGCACTAGCACTTGAGGACAAGGA